GAGTCATCACCTCGTGATGGTAAATGAGCTCTGGGAAAACGGCTCGGAGGGAGAGTAGAGGAAGATAAGGCAAGACTGGGAAATACCAACATCTGGCGTGGAAAGGAGGAGTGGCCTGAGGACAGGAGAGGACCCAGGGGAGACCCATGTCCCAGAAGCCAAGAGAGGAGAGCATTTCAAGAAGAAAGAAGTGGTGAATAATGTCACAGGTAAAGGAAGAAAGCCCAGAAAAGAAAAAAAATCTATATCTACTGACTGTATTAATAGAGACCCCCAGTGGCCTTTCCCAGAGTGGTTTGCCTTGAATGGACAGGTGACAGTAAAGCAGTGGGATTGTTAGACTGAGCAGGGAAGGACACAGCTGTAACTAAAGGGGCCACCACTGAGTTGAGGAAACCTGGCCAGGGACAAAGGAGGGTAATAAACAGTGAGGTCCCAGCAGAGTGGTTGACGGGAATGAGGCCAGAGCACAGCTGGAGAAGTTGTCTGTGGCTCTTTCACTATAACAAAAGTGAAGGACACAAAGATGGCTGAAGATTCCAATTAATCTGTAGGTGGGGAAAAGGTAACCTGTAAATACTTCTATCTGATGGCCACTGTCTTCACTGATTAGGAAAGAGCATGGTTGTCTGCACACAGATGTGTGATATGTGTCATTGTCCCAAAGTTGCAGTAACTAACACAGTTTGTAGAGCAGGCTTCCTCTGACTGTTCCCCTCAAGCGCTCCAGTGACAGAAAACACACAAAGTGAGCCAACCCAGGGCTTTGTGGTGATATGGAAGTACAGGCTCAAAATTTCCGTGAAATCTCCATTTTTGTAATTAAATTTATATTCTACGCCATGGCATACTGATGTTTGGTTTTAAAAGAAAAGCAATGCTTTAAACCACCATTAAGGATCACTGATGTTCTGGGGCAGGTGCATCCTTTCCCCCCACCCCCCACCCCGTGATTCTCTGCACTCCCTAGAACACCATTTTTATCTGAAGCCATTCATATACACTTAGCCAAATTACTAACGGGAGGCAGGGCTGCCTGTCTGAAGCAGAGGTGTGGTCTATTGCCTTGAAGCAGAGCAAAATACCCAGCACAGAGGACCATTAACCTAGAACTCACTATCTCCTGCAAATGAGGACTTTTTTTCTGCCTAAATGTATCTAATCTTACCCTGTCCCTGTTGAACCTCTTCCTATTTTCTTTGTAATAACCACTTTTCTAAGTTACCAGAGTTTTGAAGTTTGATATTTCTGTGTTAACAATTCCTTCTTGCTACCGTTATCTGCAAATATACATAAACCTTTCCAGAATAAAGACAATTTAACTTTCCCACAGTTTACATCCATTCAAAATGTAAGTTGCACCTCTTAAAGCCACAGTTCAGAATGAAAATGCTTCATTTCAAGAAATTATTAAATGAATGAGCTACATCATCAAAAACTCATTGCATAATTGGCCAGCTGTTGCAAAAAGATATGTGGGAGCTTTTTCCCGAAAATTACCACTTTCTCCAGCTCTAAGATTTATTAATTGCATTTGGAGTAACATTATAAAGTTGTTTATTTTATGGTGTAGAGCACTCCACACTTTCTCTTATATTATTAACATTGAGCATCCTGACTTCCCAGTGTACCATTCTACTTTAAACGTTCCGCATAATACGTCATCCACTCCTAACCAGATGAGTTCTCCCTCCAACTACATTTAAATAAAAAAGACATAAGCCTGTTAAGGAGTTAAATGATTGGTGTTTCATAGGATAAGAGACCCATTAGGCATCATTATAGGCCAAAGACAATATATGTGTCATTTTACTGCAGCAGTTTGACTTCCTAAAACGAAACTACTTAAACTAAATAAACTTGTTTAATAAAATGGAACTTGCGAAATCTTTAGAGAGCTGATTCATTTTGTTGGTGATCTTCATGTAAAGCTGACTTTTCTATTCTGTGTTTTCAGGATATTATCAACTCAGTGGTTACAGCAGTATTCATGATAGTTATATCTGTGTTGGCACTGATCCCAGAAACCACAACATATACAGTCCTTGGAGGGGTAAGTGGAGGTCTTTCTGGTTTCTTCCTTCAGGTTCGATCAGAATTCAAATTTACTTGAAAAATAAATACAAGAACAGAAAGCTAGACTGTATTCATCCTTGAGGCTTCTAAGCCAGTACACAGTACCTAATGGCTTAATACTTTTGTGTGTGAACACGTGCCCTGATTAATGTCAAGGAATATGATTTCACGCTAAACTTGAAGTTAACCAAATAAAGAGATTCCTCCATATTTCTCATAGATATGTAGGGCTAGACTAGACTGAGAAAAGCTACTGGAATCAGTTACAGTACTAAACTCTCAGAAACCTGATGTCAAGAAAAAAACAAACCATGGATGAATTTCAGAGCTCTCCCTTTTCAAGAAAAGGATACATCCCACTTGCTAATGTGAGACAGACTCTTCTAAGCTCAGTTATTTCTTGTCCAGATCCTGCTTCAGATGGAATTTAATAGAAGATGTGTCATCGTAAGGGAATGGTGGTAGGAAGCCTTGTAACTAAAGGATTATTTTGAACACTGCTTGAAGAGAAGCAAATCAGTTTAATTTGGAAGGCAAGCCAAAACAAACGAAGAGTCAAGTAATTTAGTTACAGTTCCATCTGATATTCTTTTTAGATTTCTTATAGGGGGTTCAAAATCATTTGGCTCTTCTAGGTTCTGATTTAGAGAAGTGAATTATTAAGTTCTTCTTAAATAAATCTCCCTCCTACTTCCTTGTCTTTTCATAGTATGGGCCACTTAGGAGAACTGGCCACATATGTCAGAATCCATGGCTTTTCAACTCCTTCATTAGGCCCAAAGCAACTTCATGAGGGATGGGAATTACTCTAGAAATGACATAGTGCTGTAATAGCAATCTCTCCTAGTTGTCTTTAAAGATAATTATGGAGAAAGAGGGATGAGGCATAGGGTTTACTGTCACTCACTTATTTACTCATTCACTCATTGATTCATTCTTTAAGTGCACTTCGGTAGGTGCTGACAAAGTATAGAGCCACAAGCCACAGGTGGCTCTTGAGCACTGGAAATGTGGCTGGTCTGAATTGAGATGAGTTGTAAGTGTAAAACACACACTGGATTTCAAAGACTTGCTACCCCCAAAAGAGTGTAGAATTTATAATTTTATTATATTGATGACATGTTAAAATTACATTCTTTTGGATGTATCAGGCTAAATAAAAGATATTATTAAAATTAATTTCACTTGTTTTTTTCTTTACTTTTTAATGTGGCAGTTAGACAATTTTAAATTAATTATGTGGCTTACATTGGTGACTCACATTATATTTTGTTTAGACAGCTCTGGACTAAAATGTGAGCCCTATCCTCAAGTTGCTTAGAGCCTAATACAGGAGACAAAAGTGCAAACAGCTGTGTCTGAGCTGTTAACAGAGCACTGTGGGGCACAGAGAAGAGGAAGCAGCTACCTCTCTCCAGCAGTGGAATTGTGGTTTGCCAGAACTAAAGGGGAGGAAACGGGGATGGTTCCAGGTGGAGGAACCGGCAACATGCTGTGTACCAGAATCATGAAAGCACCGGTAGGAGGTACGTAGCGTGGTCAGAACCTAGGAAGCTGCGTTTGAGATTCAGGATGGAAAAGGAACAGTGTCTGAAGCCAGAAAGCCAGATTTCTTGGCAGTTGGATGGAGCTGGTGAAATAACACTGACATCCCCTTTCTCCAGCCCCGGCACCAGTTCTCAAATAGCCATCAGAGTACCTAAAGACCATGTTCTAGTTTATTCCCTTTACTTCAGTTTTGTTTTCCTGAGGCCTATTTAGAATCCCACCCCTTAAGTGGATGTAGCCCGGCCTTTGAGAGTTCACTTTGGGTCATCTTATCACTCCATTTCTCCAAATCTCTTATCACAGCTACTATCACCATGGTTAAAGCTTGAGCTGGTGTTAACCTGACCTTTTCTCCAGTACAGTTTGCAATAGGAAAGTCAAACAGTTGATCATTGGGTATAGAAATGTTGATTAGTAACTAAGTATCATAGGCAGGGCTTTAAACAGTATATCCAGGAGCATGTCAAGAGATCCAGACAAGTATTGGTCTCAGAGCCCACACCACCTCAGTATTGTTTCTGCTCACTTAAATTACCTTTCCCTTTCTCTAGGAAGGTACTGGGAAAACTTGGGAATGAGAATAAAATGATCTCTGAAGTCTCTTCCCATTTTAGTATTAGGTGACAGCGTAGGGAGCAATCCTGGTGCCCTCACAGGAGAGGAAGCCGGTGGGCAGACCACTTAAAACCTGTGTGGCCATGGCCACAGCAGTGACACTGTGTCTTTGTTTCAGGCGTTTGGACTCGTGGCCTCGGTGTTCTGTATTGCCGACGGGGCCCTTATTTACCGGAAGCTGCTGTTTAATCCAAGTGGTCCTTATCAGAAAAGTGCTGTTCATGACAAACTATAAGTTTTGTAACTTTATATTCCTTTTTAGTTGATGCTAATTATTAAATATATCTCTTTATTCTAACACATATTTTCTGCAGTTCTCACTTTAATCTCTATGTGGGAGCTGGAAGAAGAGATTTAGGAGCTGTGGGCCCAGCGCTGTAACTTCCAAGGGAGCGCTCGAGCGCCTCAATCTTATGGGATCTGGTTTTCCTGTTCCTGGGGCACGGGAGGCAGAGGAGAAAGCGCCGGGAGCGCCCGAAATGGTCTTCAGAGCCCGCTCCCCGGCTGGCTGACAGCACGGAGGTGGTGGCGTTGAGGGGACCTTGAGTTCCCAGGCTAGGCAGCGGCGTCGCATCCCAGTGGCTACGAGGGCGGCTGAAGGGCTTGGTTTGTCTGCCGGCAGCCAGAGCTGAGTGCGCGCGAGGGAGAGGAGGCCGGCAGCCGTTGGGGCGCGACGCTGGTTCCCCGGGGAGAGCCGGCCGCCGCCGTGCAGACTCAAAGCCGAGGGGCCCGTCAGACACCACCAGGCCCGGGGGTCCACCATGAATCCTGAAGACGACAACGCACGTTCGGGGGACTCGAAATCCGGGGGGCGTCCCTCCCGCTCAGTAAACGTCGCCCGTGCGGCGCATCCCGAGCGCTCGGCGACATCCACAAGCTCGGTGCGGGACACAAGCGCGGCGCCCTCAGCATCCCGGGGGCGCACTGCACCCACGCTCAAGCCCACTGCACAACCCGCGATCCCCAGCCAACGGGAGAAGGCGGCCATACAAAAGCGTGCTGAGGGCCGCACCAAAGTCCCGCCCAAATTCAGGAACAGCCTCAAGCGTTTTCTCTTCTCGCCCACAGGAATCTTGAAGATCATTAGGCTGGTGAGCAGAGAGGGCTGGTGGCCCGCTGGGCGGATGCAAGCGCGGATGCAAGGGCGGATGCAGGCCGGCTACGGCCTCAGGGAGTGAGTGATTCCCAGGGGCGCCACCTAGGGGAAACTTCCCTAATTCCCTTTGCCGGTCCACATTGTTTCGCCTCCCCTTTCTTCCTCCTCTCCCTTTGCTCCTCGCACACACTCTACCCTTGCTACTAAAGTTGGCACGCTTCCCTCCACCCCTCACTTTTATATTGCTCAGGTCTCCCCTCACAAAGGGAATTAGGGAAACAGTGGAGATAATAACAGCAATGTGTACATTAGCAAACAAGAATAATAAACTTGACCGATAAAGTTGATAAACCACTGGCCAATATAACAGGAAAAAATGGGGTAAAAGAGGACATATATTTAAAGTTAGAAACCAGAAAGGGAAAATAATGCAAACCCTGAAGAAACTGAAAGGATTCACAAGAGCACTTTGCAAAACAAATAAATGTGAATAATTGGATCAAAGAGTTGATTCTCTGGGAAACTATAAATTACCAAAACTGATCCCAGAACAGAGAAAAACCTAAACAGACCAATATAAGCACGGGGGGTGG